TTCTTTCTTTCTTTCTTTCTTTCTTTCTTTCTTTCTTTCTTTCTTTCTTTCTTTCTTTCTTTCTTTCTTTTATTTTATTTAAGGTACATACAATTCATCTTCCATTTAATAAGACAGCAAACAAAATTCTATGTTTGTCTCCTTGGACAAACTCCCAACTCAAGGCCAAGCCAGTTCTCTCTTCCTCCCTAACAGCAGCAGGAGCTGAGAAAATATATATATATATATATATCTGCCAAATAGATTTTTAAAAGGCCAAGTTGCAATTTGCAGACTTCGTTCCTATTGCCGGAGGCTCCTTCACCAGCCAGCGCAGAGGTTCTATTAGAAGTTCTCTGTGGAAACTCTGTGGGTTTCCTGTGATGTAATGTGACTTTTCTGGCTGTGCCTGGATTATTATTCACTGGTGGGGTCCTTGATAGTCTGTGAGCTGGATTGTTTGCTTGCAGACCTCTCATGACCCAACTAGGTAGCATCATCAGGGTTGGAAGGGTGGAGGAGGAGAAGAAAGAGGAGGAGGAGGAGGAGGAGGAGGAGGAGGAGGAGGAGGAGTGGGTGCTCTGTGAACGTGCTATGAATGCACACAAGACAAAGAATGAGGTTTTTCAACACACGTCTTTATTGAATACTGAACATACCCAACCGTTGCCCTGCTTTTCAACAGAGTAACACCCCCCCTCAAAATACACAATGTTTTACTCCTTCCTTACTCCTTCGCACCTTCTAATTCAGCTGGGGGCATCAGATGGTGTGTTTTTTTTTATACTGGCTGGGGAGGATGGGTCCTACAGTCCTCCTGCTTCTCCTCCTCCCCCTCCTCCTCCCACCGATGATATTACCTAGCTGGGTCATGAAAGGTCTGCAAGAAAACAACCAAGCTCAGAGAGCATGAAAGACCCTACAGTCCTCCTGCTTTTCCTCCTCCTCCTCCTCCTCCTCCTCCTCCCCCTCTTCCTCCCCCTCCTCCGCCCACCGATTATATTACCTAGCTGGGTCATGAAAGGTCTGCAAGCAAACAACCAAGCTCAGAGAGCATGAAAGACCCTACAGTCCTCCTGCCTCTCCTCCTCCTCCTGCTCCTCCTCCTCCTCCCCCTCCTCCTCCCACCGATGATATTACCTAGCCGGGTCATGAAAGGTCTGCAAGTGAAACAACCAAGCCTGAAACCTGAGCGATTGTTCTTCTCTTCTTCCGTTCTCATTCTCCCGTTTCCTCCCAACAGAAAAACTTCATCGGCGTTTGCGCCGCCAACCGATTCAAGAAAATCACCAGCTCCGGATCCCTGACCGCGCTCGGGGTTTGAACTGGGGAGGGGTCACGGGGAGTGGGGAGAGAGGAAGGAAGGAAGGAACGCGGTACCGAGCCAAAAAGACGAATGAGAGGGAGACCACCCACCCACCCACCCGAAGCTTGGACCGTATTGTGTTTGTTGTGCCCTGCCGTCCAGGGATTGTGTAGCAGGGGAGGAACCGGACTCGTCCCGGATCGATGGGCAGCGGGGCCCCGGAGCATGGGACCTTGGGGTGCAGAGATGCTCCCTCCACCCTCTGTTCAAAGCCTGCCCAGTCTCCAGCCTTGGTCTACCTGGGCAGGTGAGCCCCTTCTTCTTCCTCTCTCTCTGTCTCTCTGTCTCTGCGCTGACTTCAGCCTCACCATCAACTGTGCTGCTTTCAAGGACTTCCCTGCTGAGAACTCATTAGGACGCAATGCCCTGCCGGGGGCTGCTTCTCCTTGCACCCTTTGCTTAAAGGACCCTTCTCCCTCACAGCAAGGGAGCCCGGGTCCCGCTGAGGACATCTAGACGTGCCGCCCATCCAGGCGGAAGAGAGTCCTGGCATCCCTGCCCGGTGGGCATCCGTCCCGTTGGAAGGGTACCCAAAGAAGCTCGTTTTGAATCCCGCAGAGGGTACTTGCACCTTCTGGGCCATGGTTTTGCTTTTGGGGGGGGTGGGAGGACTGTTGGAATTTTGGCTACCCAACCCCTGCTCGGCTGTTTTCCCTTCCACGGAGCGTTTCTTTCGCTTTTCTCCTTTGTAAAATGGTTTCTCTGCTTACATTTGGAGTGGCAATGTTACTGGGGGATGAAAATTCAGCCCTTCCTGACACCCCCTCCCCAAAACAAGCCCTGGGCAGGCCCATGAGTCTCCCTCCTATTCTGCTTCTTAACACAAGGCAGACAGAGTAACTCCACAAAACATCCATACAAAGTCTTTTTATTGGTTCATCGGGCATCCTCATATAACTCACAGTTATGATGAGATTCTTCTCAATGTCCAATTCTCTGCATAGCTGCATTTCATGGTGTAAAAAAGATGATAATCTCTCATCCCGAGAATGCCAGAGCAAAGGGTGAGGCACCAGCATGTTGCTGGCGCCCAAGCCAGAGTGAGGAAACCTCCCCCAACCCACCAAGGGTCAATTCAGTGACCAATCAGAATTACAGATGTGGCCACATGACGTGAACTACATTTCCCAGGATGCCTTAACTCCATTTACCATGATGCCTTCCCTTAAGGGGACAGCTCCCAATTCCTAACTAACTATCCCAAATCCAATTACCTATATACTGGCTGGACAACACAGGGCCCCAGAAGGTTCCTCCTTCTTGAAACGGCCACCTGGAGCCTCCTCCAACCCTGCTCCCTACCTCCTCTGAAGGGGAAAAGGATGATGAAATTCAAGGGTGGAAAAAAAAGGCAAGTTCTACATTGAGGCACTTAAAACCAAAATGCACAGGTCGGGTGTAGGTGGTACCTTGCTCAATAGTAGTAACTATGAGAGGGATCTCGAAGTCCTAGTAGACCAGGGATCTTCAAACTTGACAGCATTAAGACTTTTGTGGACTTCAATTCCCAGAATTCCTAAGAGGACTGGAAGGGGCGTGTCTAAGCGCACCATCGTGCCTACCGTCCCTGTCCGATTGTCCCCTGTTTATTCATACCTATTTCCTGTATTCTTACTCATGTGTATATTTTTATCTTGTAAGCAATTTGACAAGTCAAATAAATAAATAAAAAATAAAAGAAGAAAGGAAAGAAGGAAAGAAGGAAGGAAGGAAGGAAGGAGAACAGGGAAGGAGAAGGAAGGAAGGAAGGAAGGAAGGAAGGAAGGAGAAGAATGGAGAGAGGAAAGGAAGGGAGAGAATACCCAGACCTGAGAAGTCTGTAAAGGGGCGTACATAAATGCACCATCGTGCCTCCTGTCCCTGTCCTATTGTCCACATTCATTCGTACCTATTTCCTGTACTCTTACTCATGTTTATACTTATTCATATTATCTTGTAAGCGATTGACAAAGTCCATGTTAGCTCAGGAATTCTGGGAGTCCACAAGTCTTAAACTGGCCAAGTTTGAAGGCCCTTGTAGTAGACAATCACTTAAACATGAGCCAGACAGGTGCTGCAGCTGCCCCCAAAGCCAACACAGTTCTAGGCTGCATCAACAGAGGGATGGAATCAAGATCACGTGAAGTGTTGATACCACTTTATAAGGCCTTGGTGAGGCCACACCTGGAATATTTGCATCCAGTTTTGGTCGCCACGATGTAAAAAAAGATGTTGAGGCTCTAGAAAGAGTGCAGAGAAGAGCAACAAAGAGAGGATTAGGGGACTGGAGGCTAAAACATACTAAGAACGGTTGCTGGACTTGGGTAGGCCTATTATTCTAATGATAAGAAGGACTAGGTGTGACATTATAGCAATGGTCCAATACCTCAAAGGGGTTGCCACAAAGAAGGAGGTGTGTGTGTGTGTGTGTGTGTGTGTGTGTAGCTATTCTCCAAAGCACTTGAAGGCAGGACAAGAAGCAATGGATGGAAACTAATTAAAGGAGAGAAGCAACCTGGTTTCTTTTTACTGCTGACCCTTCCAAAAAAATAATTGCTCTCTCCCAGGGAATTCCGCCACGTGACATGGCCAAAGTAAGCGAGGCACAGTTTTGTGATTTTTGCCTTCCAGGGACATAATAACAGATTAACCGAGTTGGAAGGGGTCTTGGAGGTCATCTAGTCCAACATAAGGAGAAATTTTCCGACAGGGAGAACGATCAGAAGTTGCCTTCGGAAGTTGTGAGAGCTTCATCCCTGGAGGCTTTCAAGGAGAGACTGGTCAGAAATGGTGTAGTCGGGTCTCCTGCTTGGGCGGGGGGGTTGGACTAGATGACCTAAAAGGACCCTTCCAGCTCTGTTAATCTGTAATCTTGTGAGCTATTTGCCCCTTTGAAGGAGGAGCTGCAAAAGCCAAGCCCAATGAGATGCTTTATGGAGACCATCTGGACTCCGTTTCCTCTTCTCTTCCTCTTCTTTTTCCTCCTCCTTTTTTTCCTCCTCTTCCTCCTCCTCCTCTTCCTCCTCCTCTTCCTCTTCTTTTTCCTCCTCCTCCTCCTCCTCCTTCTCCTCCTCCTCCTCCTTCTCCTCTTCCTCCTCCTTCTCTTCCTCTTCTTTTTCCTCCTCCTTTTTTTCCTCCTCCTCCTCCTCCTCCTCCTCCTCTTCCTCCTCCTCTTCCTCTTCTTTTTCCTCCTCCTTTTTTTCCTCCTCCTCCTCCTCCTCCTCCTCCTCTTCCTCCTC